AAATTGAGATACACATAGAGATATAAATTTGATACAAATTAGAATCAGAGGGGAAGAGGGAGCTTTTATTTCTTCCTTTACATACTTCTGATTTTTGAGGTTTTAGCAGTAAGTATTCCTTAATTTAGATATATAAGTATACAGATATATTTCAGCTTTGGAGCTCTGAAGTACTCTTGGTAGCATGATTTTAAAAATCATGATATAATATATATTGATGCCTAGTCTTCAAATATCTTTGTGGTTTTTCTTTTTTTTAACATAAGATCAATTTACATAATGTTATCCCTATTTAACTTTTAATCCTTTTTGCCAGTTCCATGTCTATCTTGAAAAAGAATGTGTCTTAAGCTCTAGAATAAAATAAATAAGAGCTACCTCTTAGATATACACCTTCCCCAGGCCACCCCAACCCTCATGCCTGAGATTCCCACCCAGAAAATAAAGACAACCATGGTATATCTTCATGAGTGTCATAAGGGAGGGGTGAACACAGGTGTTCAAAGTCTCCAGCACAGGGCCCGGCACAAATGGCTCATCAGTGGCAGTTTTTGTTGTTATTCAATGTCCTCAGAGTAAAGCGGCCCCTTCTGGACATTTATTTTTGCTTGGAGGTTCAGTGAACCTTACCCTGGCTTTCTGTCTCTTCAAACACCCTAGAAGCAGAAACAATTCCCTGGGGCCATCTCTAGGCCTTCTGACTCTGGAAATGACACGGTCACAAACTACGGGCCCGAGGGAAGCCAGGGAGGGCCCTTTGAAACCTTACACTCCTTGACTCCAGCAGCTGAGAGGGAACCTTGGCAGTCCTCTGGCCAATGTAATCATCTTTCACATTAGTCAAGACAAATGCCTTGGAATTTTCCTTAAACTGGGTGTCACCTCCCATTTTCGATAAGAAAAGATATAAGCGAAGAGCTGCCAGTGGGTGGAGTCTTGGGCCGGGTCCCCGGATACGTCGGGCTACTTTCATTTTCCAGATATGGGAGAAGAGAAAAGTAGGCCAGGCCAGGGCTGCAGTGTCCCCAAGAGGTCAGCCGCTCCAGGCTCTGAGCCTTGCTTCTGGGCTGCCTTCCAGCCCCACTCCATTCCAGTTTGCAGTAATGAATGTTATGCACACACACCAACACACACACATACACACACACACACACACACACACAGAGGCACTGATTTTTTTTAGGAGCCTTCAATGAAGTTTTAAGTTGTTGACAATCAGTGTTGGTCATCAGGCCAGCAATTCTTCCAAGTGAAATGTTGAACAAGGCTGGGCCTCGAAGCTATACAGATGTACGGCTTCCTGAAAGCCATATATCTGTGTGTGCCTGGGTAACTTTCAGGAAGCCGTACATCTGTGTGTGTCTAGGTAACCTGAGAAATAGTACTATGATTGTGATCAGTGTGCCACAGAGACTTAGGAAAGATAGGAAACTCCTTACAGATTTTTCACTTAAACAGGTAATGTCCTCTTGAAAATGTTATTAAGTACAAACGAAACAAATGTTCAGGGTGCACCTACCTGACACATCAGGGGCACTCGACAAATATTTCTGGAATGACAGAATTGTCAATCTTTGCTCTGTGGTCTCAAGCAAATGACTTGCCTTGGTTGGGTCCCAGTCTCCTTTCTGAGAATAGAGGTTATCACACCTCCTCCATGGGTGGTGAAGGCTGAGGAAAAACTCTTTGTCCAGGAGAGGTGTGCTGCAAATAGGAGAGCAGATCTGGGGGAGGTGGCCAACCTTGGCACCCACCTGGGCTCACAGAAGCCAATGGGAGGTATAAGATAAACTGCCCAGGGACCTCCCCAACCACCCTTCCATCTTATCTGCCCTGTAGCCATGTCCTCCCCTGCAGTCAGGCTGCTTATCGGGGGCTGACACCAGGCACAGCCAACATTGTGCTTTGATTCCTGCCAGATTTCATCTGTGGAAGGCGTTTCCAGCCCCTGCACCTCCTTAGCCAAAGTTTGCCCTTTAAAGTCAATCTCGGGTCACACATCTCCAGGAAGCCTTCAAACCTCACTCCAGAGCCGCCTCTCTCCCTCCTCCATCCTCCTCTATGCCTGCTGCCCCCACACTAAGGCAGCAGGCTGTATTCCCTGGGCATTGCCCTGACAGGAGGGCAGGTGCAGGCTGGAGTCTAGAAACCAGCATAGCCACCAAGCTGATTTTTCAAAATGTAAATTCTAAAACCTTGACTTTTAAGTCTGCCACTTGAGAGAGAAGAGTTTTGGTTTTATTTTTGCTTTTACTTGTTGGAACTCTAGAACATATCCTTATATATCAAGAGCCTGGAGCATAAGGTTATGCCATAAACCAGAGAGTTCCTGTTCAAGGGAGGTACATGTTTGAACCAGCACATAACACAATGAATACTGAGGGCAGATGACTAGGGTTGGGCCAGAAATGGAAGTTAGGGGGCAGGGGGCATGAGGAAAGGAGGAAACTGTGTTGATTTCCAGGCTCAAGCCAAGGAGACTGCAAACCTTGGATTGAAAGATTGAAACCCACCTACACGATGGAGCATGTGGATGGGCAACAAGGGGGTTGGCGGTGGGTGGGGGAGGGAGGGATACCTGAGGGAAGTCTCACGGTTCAAATCACCCCAGCAAGCTACAGAAGGGTTTTGGAAAGTTCCCGGGCTATTCCTACAAAGCACATGCCCCATGGGCCCGGGAACAAGGCAGGACACATAGAAATCAACAGCACAAGGTGTAGTGACCGGGTTCATATCACTGAGCAGCTCCCATTGTGGGCAGCAATGAGAGAAGAGAGAAGGGGCAAGGCAGAGAATCTTGAGCTCTTTCAAGCCCTTAAGGAACCATCTGTAGGACTGAGAGGACCTGAGTGACCCTGAGATGGTGTATTAGTCTGTTCTTACGCTGCTAATAAAGACATACCCAAGACTGGGTAATTTACAAAGGAAAGAGGTTTAATGGACTCACAGTTCCTCATGGCTGGGGAGGCCTCACAATCATGGCAGAAGGCAACTGAGGAGCAATGTCATGTCTTACATGGCTGCCATGGCTGTGGGCAAGAGAGTGTGTGCAGGGGAATTGCCCTTTATAAAACCATCAGATCTCATGAGGCTTATTCACTACCTTGAGAACAGTATCGGGGAGACTGCCCCCATGATTCAGTTATCTCCACCTGGCCTCACCCTTGACACGTGGGGATTATTAAAACTCAAGGTGAGAGTTGGGTGAGGACACAGCCAAACCATACCAGCTGGAAAAAACTGAATTTTTCCACCATAAGCAGAAGTAGGGATTCATGAGCTAAGTTAAGATCAATTATAGAGAAAGAAAGTCCCATTTTAGTGTAATTATGACTAAATGTCACACTGCTATCTTCATGCTGGCCCATTACCTTCCTGGATGACCAACCACCCTAGTTTGCCCAAGACTGTCCTGGTTTTAGGATTGAATGTCCTGCAGCCCAAGAGATCCCTCAGGCCTGGGCACACTGGGATGGTCAGTCACCCCACCTTCACCTGGCACCAATGCATCATCTGTCCAGGATGTCCTGCGGTTGTTTTGTTTTGTTTTGTTTTGAGATGGAGTCCTGCTGTGTTGCCCAGGCTGGAGACTGCAGTGACTTGATCTTGGCTCACTACAACCTCCACCTCCTGGGTTCAAGGAATTCTCCTGTCTCAGCCTCCCGAGTAGCTGAGATTACAGGTGCCCAAAACCAGGCCCGGCTCATTTCTTGTATTTTTAGTAGGGACAGGGTTTCCCCATATTGGCCAGTCGGGTCTTGAACTCCTGACCTCAGGTGATCCACCCACTTCAGCCTCCCAAAGTGCTGAGATTACAGGCATGAGCTGCCGTACCCGGCCATCCCTATTTGATTTTAAGTGAAGTGAGGAAAGGGACCATATGATGTTCAGACTGTTCATTCAACCAGCAAAAGTGACTGTAGTTTCCCTGCACTGAATTCTGATGGGCGAGACTGACTCTTAAGCAGATAATTAAAATACACTGTGATAAGGGGGAATGTAAATTAATGCAACAAGCGAGCACTGCACGCCTACCAGAATGGCTAAAATTCAGAAGATGGGCAAGAACGAATGTTGGCAAAGATGTGGAGCAACTGGAGCTCTCTGCACTGCTGGGGAGAATGCTCAGTGCTGCAGCTACTCAGGGGAAAATGCTGGCACTTTCATATAAAACTAAACATACACCTGTCTTTGACTCAGTAGTTCCATTCCTAGGTGTCTACTCAAGAGAAATAAAAATATCTGCCCATGAAACAGCTGTACTGTACAGTAGGCTTACGAATAATAGCCCAAACTAGAAAGTGCCCAAGCTGCTGGAGAACTGGTAAACCAACTGTGGCATAGTCACATAGTGGAATAGTGCTCATCAACAAAAGGGATGATCTACTGATGCACACAACATGAATGGATCCCAGAACATCATTCTGAGTGCAAGCAGCTAGACACACACAAGCACGTACTCTGTGCTCCATGTATATGAAGCTCCAGGAATGACCATCAAATCTATAACGATAGAAATCAAACCAATAATTTTGTAGGACTAGGCTAAGGGGGATTGACCAGGAAGGGGCACAAGGGAATCTTCTGAGGGGTTGGAAATATCCTATATCTTGCCTGTTGTGGTTATTACACAGGTATACACATTTTTCAAAATACATCAAACTGCACACTTAAAATGGGTGCATTTTCTTGTTTGTGAATTAGAACAAAATAAGTTGATTTTTAAAAATCAGATTGAGAAAATAAAACAAGACCTGAGAAGCACTACAACACACAAGCGCACAAAGTACCCGAGGGGTAAAGGAGGCCTTCGCAGCTGGGCAGGGACTGAAAAGTCAGAAGGGGCTGCCCTGGACAGAGAAGAGGACAAAGCACATGGCAGAGGCCAATAGCATGTGCAAAACACGCAGGGAAAAAAGCAGACGGGGCTCCAGGAAAGGCACAAGGTTAGGGTAGGGTGGTGGCCACTGTTAAAAAAAAAAAAAAAAAAGGAGAGAGAATAGAAAGGTAGGTCTCAGCGAGTTTGGGAAATGCCTCTATGTCCTGCAAAGCACGCTGGACTCTGCCTCTGGGCTCGCATTGCTCGACCGCAGTGTGCTGACTCACTGAGAGCAGCTGGGCAGTGTGGCACAAGTGAGGTGCTGCTGGTTAGGACTCCTCCAGCTGCTTCCTGCAGTGCCCCTGCCGGGCCCATGCAGTCCCCTAGTCCCCTTAAGCAGGGATTAGGGGCCGTGAGCACTCTGGGAAGGGTGCTGCCCTCTGAGTGAGATCTGCCCCATACCGCAGGGGGACAAAGGCTCAGGGGCTATGCTTGATAACAGGTTGTTAATTTTTTCTCCCACAGAAGACTCTGTTGGGAGGGATCTGTGCTTCAGAAAGATACCCTCTCTAGGAAGCTGGGAGAGGGTTGGAGTAGCGGAAAGTAGAGGCAGGGAGACCAGTTAGTAGCTGGAACAACCATCCCCGGGGCTTGATGAAGGGGATCTAGGCTAAGGCAGTGGAGACGGAGGGAAAATGCACATTTAACATGCTTCAGAAAGCAGATGCAACAGCACTGAGAAGTTGGAAGAAGCTGTGAAGCATTGACACGGTGAGGGCTCAGACCACCCCTCAAACAAGCTGGAGAACAGAGAGGGCGGTGGGAGCGGGTGGCATCACATCAACCCACTATCAGCAGTGCCCATGTTCATGATCTTTTCTGCCCCTTACCAAAGTCACTGTGACTTTCCTCCGGGCCCTCTACACCACACATTCATGTTACATGAGGCTTCCCAGAAATATACCCTCTTCTTCCCAAGTGCACCCTCTTCCTGCCCCCATTACTTCCTCCTCTCCTCAACCATGAAATGAGGGCATGATAGCAGGGAAGAGAGGTACCCTAGGGCAGGAGAGCCTCTCATGGCCCCATTATCCCTTCCCCTCCACTCTCCATGTCCATGACTGGCTCAAAATTTCTCTATGCACTCTGGGCTGCATGTACATAGCCTATGTCTCTAAATAAGTCCAAAAAAAAGTCCACCCTCATGATGGGCAATGGGCCCTATCCATTAGAAACAAGCCGCTCTGTAGGGGGTTCAGCTCCATGGCTCTTGCTTCAGGGTGGTATGAATAAAACACGGCACATGGAAATCATGTCACCAGACTCTCCCAGCTCAGAGATTCCTGGAAGCGAGTTCAGAGTCCACACAGCCCCATCTCTGTGTCTACACCATTATTAGCCAAGCTTTCTCGTGGGGTTGCTAAGAATTGACAGAAAGTTCGGAATATTGGCCATGTGTGACTTTAATCATACGTCTGCAATAAAATGAAGCTCTTTCCCTGAGAGCAAGGAGGCAGCTAGGCAGTAGCAGAAAGACAGAGTTCAGAGTTACGGTCTAGAGCAGTCCAACACAAACACAGCCTTCTCGGAGCCTTACTGCAGAGCGTTTTTGTTGCGGGAACGGACACTCAAGCCACACATCTGGTAAATGATTCCCGAAGACGAGATGGGGTTGGGAAAGAGAAGATAAAAAGCAGGCTGCACATGTGTTAGCCAAGCGTGGCATGACTCAGCGATCACCCTGGCTTCTCAGAAAGAAGAGGCCGGTTCATCCCCTTGACTCAGCATTCCTCACTTCTCAGCAGCCTCAGCCTGCAGTCACCCAGGGACCTCAGCCACAGAGCAGGGCAGCACACCGTGTACTCTCAGACCCTGTCCTCAGATGCCGTCCTCCATCAGACTTGAGGCCCCGCCTGGCTGGCAGAGAGGCCACAGCCCTACAAGGGAGGGTCTCCTACTCCAAAAAGGAACAGAGCACTCTTTAAGGAGCGTGTCTGCAACACAGCAGTGCCCCCACCCTGGCCAGATACCTGTGAGTAGGAGGGGGCAGCCACTCACTTTTGGGAAGCCTAACTCTCCCTCTGGAATGTTTTCATTTTCTTCCTCCCTTCCCTGAGGCTAAATGAGCCATCAGAGGCAACCCGCAGCCCAGGGACAAACACCTTTGCTGGGTGGTGGGTGACAGGAACTGGGTCAAGAACTGGGCTGAGAATTAAGAAAATTTCAAATTTTCTGAGCTCACAGTTTTATCTGTTGGAAAATAGCGGGGCTTATCTTGTCAGGAAAAGGGAGGGAGAAAACAGTCAGTAAGACTCAGGGCGTCTTACTTATCACACAATTCCTTTTAGAAATATGTTGACGGGTTTCCCGGACTGAGGAGCCCTTTGCATGCCAGAGCTTCTCAGCGCAGCCAAAGTGACAGAATCAGGAAGCAGTCTGCGAGGGCCAAGACCTCAGAGCCAGGGTGGAGCCTCCACTCACTAAGGACCTTGGGCAAACTATTTAGCCTGTCAGTGCCTCAGTTTCCTCATCTGAAAAGAGGAATGATGCATAATGATGGAACCCAATGCACAGGGTCTCTGTGGGGCCCACTCGCTTGCTCATGCACTCATGAGTACCCACCGTGTGCAAGCACAGTTCTAGGGACTGGCACATCAGTGAGCAAAACCACGTGGATTCTGACCCTGGTGGAGAATGAAGGGGGATAAATAGAGCAGGGGCTCGGTGGGCTGGGGCTGGAACTAGGGGAAGGCAAGCAGGTGCCTAAGGCCCCAAATTTAAGGGGCATGCACACTATGGGCACCTGCACGGCCCTCAGAACAACACCGTGGCCACCTGGGACCAGGTTGGGGTGAAGATGGAAGAGTCAGAAAAGTGCTTGATCAAAGCCAGTAAAGTGCTCAGTGCAGTGCCTAGGAGACTGGCCCTCAGTTAAGTATCAGCCGCTTGTAAGAGCATTAGCAAACGGAGGAGGCAGAAAAGAACTCCAAAAAGAAACTGTAAACTCTCAACAACTTCAGCAGGATGGGCCATTTAGAGTTGGGGCAAACACCTGGACACACCTAGAACTCTGGTTGCCACCTCGAGCTGGTTGCCATCTGAGCTCAGTTGAAAGCAAATCAAAACAGAAATGTCGATGCTGGAGCAGCAGCAGCCCTGGAGATATTGATCTGGCTGGTCTTGGATGGGACCCTAGCATCACGTTTAAGACGCTCCTGCCAAGGGATCCTAGGGCACTATGTGCCAAGCCTCATGCCAAGGGCTTTCCGTAAATCATTTCATTTCCCCCTCCCTGAATCCTACAGGCTCAGGACTACTCTTATCCCCATTCACAGATGAAGAATCGGAAACCTCAAGATTTTTTTTTTTTTTTTTTGAGACGGAGTCTCGCTCTGTCGCCAAGGCTGGAGTGCAGTGGTGCGATCTCGGCTCACTGCAAGCTCCGCCTCCCGGGTTCCCGCCATTCTCCTGCCTCAGCCTCCCGAGTAGCTGGGACTACAGGCGCCCGCCACCACGCCTGGCTAATTTTTTGTATTTTTAGTAGAGACGGGATTTCACCGAGTTAGCCAGGATGGTCTCGATCTCCTGACCTTGTGATCCGCCCGCCTCAGCCTCCCAAAGTGCTGGGATTACAGGCGTGAGCCACCGCGCCCGGCCCTCAAGATCTCATATAAATTTCATGCTGTCTGTCTGCTGCGGCAAACACAATCACTAATGTTTTCAGTGGACATGTTAAGTTACCAGGAAAAGATTAAATGTATACAATGAGCTCTGCTTAAGAATGTATGGGTGTGCTAAGTTTTCAGAAAAGGTTAAATGTGTGCCATGAGCTCTGCTTAAGAGGGCAAGCCATGGTGAAATTGATTCTGTAAAGATTAATGTGCAAAAGTTTCTAAAGTTGAGTGTTCCGAGCAGTAAGCTCTGATTCCTGGAAATTTTAATTTACAGAACATTCTTCGGTGATGCTCAAGAAGTGAGATGTGTCTGCTCCGTAAAGATGAGTCAGGAGTAGTCAAGAAGCAGGGGAACTGTCAACTCTGACACACCAGAAATGACACTCAGCAGGGCTTAGCCACCGTGGTCTCCCCTCTGAACCCACAAGGTGAAGTGGAAACTGGAGGGGTGTCAGCCAAGTTACAAAGGAATCGCTGAAACTGGGAGGCCCCACAGGAAAGAAAACGCTGGAAAAATAGAAGCTTCTGGCCCAGTGTTCTCACGCAGGACTATAATAATTAAAAAGAAGTTTTGGCAGCCACCCCAGAGCAAGTTCATGAGGAGAGACGGGTCACAGAGGTGACCAGCAGTTCTGGAGTGAGGGCAGCCCTGGAGAAGCTGAAGTCCCAAGGGACACCTGCATCCGCGTGGCATGAACCAAGTCTATCAGTGATTCTCCTCTCCCTCGAAACTGTCACTGCAAGATCCCGCTCTGCCAGTTACTAACTGTGTGACCTTAGGCAAGTTACTCAACCTTTCTGAGCCTCAATAAATGGTAGCTAATATGATTGTTTATTGTTATTAAAAGCGGTTAAATCTTTATGAGGTCATGTAATGCACGGCCATAATCAGGTAGCACTGGGAGAGACGAACATTTCTAAAATAGTAAATATTTTAGACACTGTAGGCCAAGAAGCATATTTGATATGTTATATATATATAATATATGTGTGTGTGTGTGTGTGTATTTATATAATGTAGATACTTCTATAACGAGAGAGAAACCTCTGCGTGCCTGGCCCTGTCTGCCTGGGGTGGGCTTCCTGGGGGCGGGCACAGTGTACCCTACACCTGCTGGAGATGGTCCTGGGAAGAAGGGCAGCCTGATGGAGGGAGGGGCCTGGCAAGCTGGCTCAGTGGGCATGGGGAGTTGAAGGGGACTTGGCCACCATGGTCATTTTCTCTCTTTGCCCCAGGGACACCTGAACCAGCTCCTCCTGGAGATCTGGGCCCCTTCCCTCTGGACAGCTGAACAGAAGTGAAGCTAACACATCACCAATTCTCAAGCTTAGATTCTGCAGCTTGGTGCCCGACATTGCAAGAGCAGAGTCCCCATGCTGTAGGGGTGACCAGCATGGGCCCTGTGTGGCAGGAAGGTGAGTCCTCTGGCAGGGGAGGCAGGTGCTGGAAGCCAAGTAGGGGACAGGGACAAATGAAACCACCTCAGCTTGGGTCCTGCAGCTCATGGCACTTGCAGGGTGTCCCTGAGCCATACAGAAGCAGGAGACCACCCACAGTTTGTCCATGGGTCATAGTTTGCTGACCGTAGATGTAGCAAAAGAGACCTAAACGTGACCCCAGTGTGGTTGAGGGGAGTGACCAGTGAGCACACCCGTGCCAGTGTTCTCTAGAGCATAACCCATTAAGGGATTACAAAAGCACATCAGTGGCTCACCACCAGCATCTTTTTAATGAAACAAAGAGAATGGACTCTCTCTAGGTTTTTTATGGCGTTCATTTGGATAAGGATCTATGCTCTGGGTGCCATGTCAAATGCGCTTCTTACTGAGGACTGGGTGCTAGGCACACTTTTTGGCTTCTGTATCCCTCAAAAGAGTTGTTTTCATCTATTTTTCAAACATTAGTGGGGCATCTGCCGTGAAAGTTTAAAAATAAGCTCCTTGAGGGACAGGGTCAAGTCCCAGCCTTCCACTAACTCTGAAACCTACCGCCTTGGCACATGGGCAGGAAGTGAAGGGAGGACAAGGGAGTTTGCTGGCGTCTGAGAATGTATATTCCTAGGAGGACCTTGGAGAAGTGAAGATCTTTGGTAGTACCTCTGGAGGCATCTCACACTTACCATTCAACCACAACATCTTAGAGGCCTCAGGTCTGGCAGTTTCCAGACTGTGCTCCGAGGAGCCCCTGGGTTCCTCAATGTGCTTCAGGGGTGCCCAGGGAAAGAGGTTCTTGCCTTCCTTTTCTAACTTCAACCAGAGCAGCTTTGCACTTTTTTATATAGGTTTTAAGGTGACATGTAAATTTCTTTTGTCCCAAGGGCTCCAATTCCAGAGCATCGAACAACCAGAAGGCCTGAAAACTCTATTTTATTCAACTAATTTAAACCTAGGAAAACCTGAAATACCCAAGGAAAGTCAGCAGTGGAGAGGGAGACTGGCCCTCAGACCTCGGCTCCCCACCCTGTTCAGCCGTCCTTCCTCCACACTCCGCTGCAGCCCTGCTGAGTCCAGTTCTGCTCTGGGAGCAATTCCCAGTGGACACGTGGCAGTCCAACAAGACAGTGTTATAGCAGCAGGCTCCAAATCAGACGAAAAGCAGAAGACAACACACACTGTTTTAAATATCATAGAGAGAACATCCCCGGAGTTGTTTATCATGATTCAGACATGGACAAGCTTTGGGATCTTGGACAAGTCACTTCACATCTCTGGACTTTGTTTCTGCAGTCCTCTCTGGCCCTCTGTTCTGAGTCTCCATGGATAGAACTGATCATCACTAGAGAGAAAGGAGAGCCACAAACCTAATCTCCCAGGTGACAATTATTAACTCTACCAGTGTGACATGCCTTCTGGGGAGCGGTGGCAGCGGCCACCTGCAGTCCATCTCCACAGCAGGATGAAGTTTCCTGGAGAAGCCATGGAGGTGAAGAGAGGACTCAGGCTGCTAACTCAGCCCAGTCCTGCACAAACACAGGGTAACTGCACCTGGGATTGAAAGCGTTAATTTAGAATTTTGTTGTCCTAGGTGTTCCAGCAACTCTGTGGTTCTCTATTAGAGTTGAAGAGACTGAGGCTCTGAGAGGTTGCATGATTGTACAAAGGGCGTAAAGGTGCAATGAGAGGGGACAGAGAGAGAGAGAGAAAGAGAGCATATTTGAGGTTTGAGACCCTCGAGGTGGAAGGAGATGTCAGTTATAACTTGTTGACTGTCTCCTGCAACAAGAACTTTACATACTTTATCTCATACTTAAATCCTCACAATAACCATGCAACATAGGTGTCAAAAACCCATGTTACAGAAGAGGAAAATGAAGTTGAGACAGGTTAGAGTGATTCCAGGCACACAACTATTGGATGACAGCACCGGTCTTCTCACTTGCTTTTTCTGATTCCCAAATCTTTGATCTTCCCACTCTCTTGGGATGCCTCAAGGCTGTGTAGACACATGGCCAGAATATTCCTCCACTCAATGTTGTGTAACCACAGGACAGAGAAGAAGACAGTGGCCTTCAACACTTGACATGAAACTGTGGCATGAGAAGAGCCAGTGATCAAGCCAATCTTGGTCAGAACGTCATTACCTCTGGTGAGAGAGCCACTATCTAAGCACCTCTGGTCACCCTATCCTGTGCCTTGTCATCAGGTACACTATATCTGGGAGAGTCTGGAATCCTCATAAGGAAAGGATGGAGGTAGGGCTGTGATAGGAAGCCCCTCTCCCTCCCTAGCTCTTTGCCTCAATTAGCTTAAAGATACAAATAGCCTTACATAGTCTCACAAAGTCTTTCTACGAGTTGCGAAATTGCGTTGTTTCCTACGGAACTGTAACATTTTATGAATAAGGTTATTTATGAGTGGTTCCACCCTAGTGGGTAAAAGATAGGTTACAGAATGAAAATTCCCTTTACCTCTCAACCTTTGATCTTCATAGTCAAAATCGGGTAACAACAATAATCTCCACACAGGTGGGCATGAGGATGCAATGAAGTGATGTGTCTGGATCATAGAGGTCCCTGTACCAACGTGATACTGTTTTATGCCTGCAGGCAGCTCCAGTCATCCAATTAAGCTGACAGGGGCATCCCTCCTTGCTTGATGGAGCGGTGAGGACCAGGGTCCCGCTAATCCTATGGGTATTCTCTCATGTATCCTTGCAGCAATCCTATTTACATACTAACCCCATTTACACACAGGGAACGGAAAGTTTGTGAAGTGAATTAAATGGAGGGCAGGTGGACTCTGCGCTGTCAGGAAAAGCTCCCAATCTTGCAATTACAGCTAGAAGAACCCTGAGAGCAGGGTATGCACACACCGCCACCTCGGCAGGCCTGGAACACGCTCCTGGTGCCACACTTGGGCCAGTGAGGTACACTGAGGGTCCCTAGCCTGACATCCAGCCAGTATTTAACTCCAAGGAGAGGGAAGCCACAGGGAAGGATGGGGCCAAGAAAGAAGACACTGGACCTGTTGTGGAAAACTCCACAGACTCGGAATGAAATTCTGGCTTTGGTTATTTTCTGGCGATCCTCATGCACAAGGAATTGGGAAGCCGCTGCCAGCTAGAAGGTGGGGAGCCCCACATCACAGTTCTTAACCCACCTGTTTACAAATAGGCGTTCACGTGTATGCAAAGCCAAAAGCGGCCTCCCACCCACCTTCCAGTAATTGCTCTGTGACCCACAGAGAGGGAAGGCAAGGAAGCAAACTTCAAAGGGCCTTTGAAAAAGAACACTGACCACATGCATTTGAAAAGAGGTCAATGTGGATTTGACAAAAGGCCAAAGGACACTTGAAAACACAGGGAGTGACTATTCGTTCCAAAACACACAGGGGAGTGTGCCCCGAGGATCTGTGGGGGTTCATGAAGTCTGTCCAGGAGAACTGTAGGATCCTTGTGCTTAGGCGAGTTTCAGTTTTAGGGTGTGCCAATGCAGAGTTCTGTTGATTACGGAGGGCCCAGCTTCCTAAGGAGGATGTGAAAATTAACTCGAAACTGAAGCTGTGCCCAAAGGTGCCTGAGGTTGTGACAGTCAGAGTTGCCAGCATTCTAGTTGGGCTCCCATTAGCATGTGACATCAGACAAGCAATTGAGGCAGCACGCCAGCCTCTCTACCTACAGACGGGAGCCCCTGCACCTCTCAAAGTCAGATGACACACATGGGATCATTTCAAGCCTTTCAATACTTTCAAGGTCATATTATTCATTTTCCCCCAATAGCTTTTTTTCCTCGTCTTTAAGGAAAGTCTCATGAAAAGGGGAATTTAAATTCACACAAAATGAGGGGGCTCTTGGTCAGCTCCTCTTGAGAAACTGATGACTCGTTTCAGTTCTCAAGGGGCTTTCCTATTGTGGGAGGTGTCCCCAGTGAATCCACGCCTTCATTTCTGAAAAGGAAAAAAAAAAAAAACAAAACACCACAGCCTTGGCATTGCACATAGACCCGTCAGAAATGGCATGACTTTGGGCATCAGTCAACACGAATGGTGGCTGCCTTTCATTTGGAGGCGCCAGTCCCTGATTTCAACCAATGCAAGACTCTGCAAAGGCTTTGAGTTTTTATCAAGAATACATGTCAAGCTTTTCACGTCAACCTGGCTTTCTACTTTGGGCTCTGGATGAAACAGCCAGGGACTTAAAAACTCAGGAAGAGAGAGAGAGCTCTCCCTCTCTCCCAAAAAGAGAAGGGAAGAGGAGCCGTACCCCTCCAGGAATCCCAGCCAGAGTGGCCGGCCTCGGATTTAGAAGCCTGCATCTTACTTAATGTTGCAGATGTCTCTACCTGTCTTTGCCATGCAACACTGCACTCCCAGAATATCAAGCACATGACAGAAAGCAATCACCTGATCATCAATTTACCTGCGTGACAGCATTAAGAAATAAACCAGAAGAATATTTTTCTCACTATTTGTAGAAATGAGGAGACAGTGATGCAAAGGCAGACTGATACTATTTGAGTTGTAGAAAGGATGGGGACATAAGGACATATCTCTCAAGCCTCATCAAGAAGATTATTTATTTTACCTATTTATTTATTATTTTATTTTATTTTATTTTATTTTATTTGAGAGAGAGTCTAGCTCTGTCACCCAGGCTGGAGGGCAATGGCACAACCTCAGCTGACTGCAACCTCCACTTCCCAGGTTCAAGCAATTCTAATGCCTCTGCCTTCCAAGTAGCTGGGACTACAGGAGTACACCACCACGCTCAGCTAATTTTTATATTTTTAGTAGAGGCGGGGTTCCGCCATGTTGGCCAGGCTGGTCTCATCAAATAGATGACATCATCCTCATGGACACAGTGACTGGCCCAGGGAGGAACACGGGACACAAGCTGAACAAGTCAGACTGTTCCCTGGGCTCTTTCAGCCAGAAATGTCAGGGGAGATGATCTTTTCTCATGTGGGCTCCTGTGCAAATATAAGGTATGCTTTGAGCTACCAATGGCTAATACGCCTGTCCAAGAAACACTGAGATAAAACACCCTAATGGCCCTTGGATCCAGCCATGCCTGAAGCTGTTATCTGTTTCTGAGTCTTACTTAAGCGTTTTATGAGTCAATAGGTTCTTTCTTTCCTCTCTCTCTCCCTCTCTTATGCTACTTTGAGATATACGCTGTCACTTGCAAAAAAAAAAAAAAAATTTACGAATATAAGTCATAAAGAAGTGGGATTATGTGTAAAAAATTTTAGATTTTTATTCATCTATATATTTTGACCATGATTCAGAAGAAAAGTCCTAAGTAAAAAACATCTACATTAGAAATCTTGAAATATGACTTTTATACATATGTTAAGAGATGTTGCCTGCTCATTAGGTACTAATCTGAAGTTAATCTTTGGCCAAACACAGTCAAAATAGGGATTTTCCACTCTGGAATGGGTAATAGGATTTTGCTGTTTTGGATGCTATCCAAAGGAAACACTCCCAAAGAAGAGAATGCCCAGTGGACCCACTCAGTCCTTCAATTCCAGAAGAGAAAAATGTTTACTGTTGTGGTATTACATAGCTATAAAAGCACTTTCAGAAAACTGAAGTCCAATGTTTTCTGGAGAATATAATTACTGCTCCGCCCTCACTAAGGTGTTTTGTTAATGATGAGCTTGGAAACCATGGCTCCATGTTCTAGCCTCCTGCTGCTGGTGGACCAGGATTCTCACACATCCTCAGTTCACTACGAAGCATGTTAGAAGTTATCATAATCAAAGGCTATTGCTCAAACACTATGTGCCAAACCCTGTCATTGGCACTGTCCTTACTACAATCTTGGGAGGTTGATACTCTGATAGAGAAATCCCAAGACAGTCAATGGCCAAGATCATAAAGCTATTCAATGAAGGAGCTGGAATTAGAGCTCCTGGTGCTGTGTTCCCAGGCCATCTCACTGTGGGTCTCACTTGGAAATGGTGAAGAAAAGCCCAGACAGCAAAGGTGTTAGCCCTCGAATCATTGCCATTCTCACCTCTGCACTATCAGCCACATGAATGTCCTCCACTGAGATTCTATCACATAATTATCGTAAGTCATGGAACGCTGGCTTTGTAAGGAGCATGTGTGTCACCTAGGGACACCTTTATTTTACAGAAGGGGAAAACTAAGGCCCAGAGAGTACATTAAACTATTAAATCAGGACTGACCAGTAGAAATTATGGGAGGTAGCTCCCAAGGTTAAGTCATAAAAGGTGTTGTAGCTTCCATCATGAACTTTGGGATCACACACTCTGGAGAAAGCCAGCTGCCACGTCAGGAAGACACTCGAACTGCTCTGTGGAGAGTCCATGTGGCCAGGAACTGAGCTCCCCTGCCAATAGCTAAACCAATGGCACCAATTTTCCAGTTGTAAGCCATCTTGGAAACCGATCACCCAGACCTAGTTGAGCCTTGAGATGACAGCAGCCCTGGCTGACATTTTCTCTGCAACCCTATGAAAGACCTGAGCTACAACTCAGGTCATGCCACTCCTAAACTGCTGGCCTTCAGAAACTGTGGGCTAATATACGATTGTCATTGCTCAGGCAACTGAGTCTTCGGGAAATTTGTTAAACAGCAAAAGATAACTAACGTGATGTCTATTTTAGCGGTTTAAGAGGTAATTCCAAGTTCTTAACTCCCTTCTGAATGGTTGAAAGTAGCAAATAAAGGACTCCTGTGTGACCAGATGGTCAGTTACTAACATTACAGAACTGACTAATGTAAAATTTAAAATGAACACAAAGAAGAAAAGAAAAGATGCTAAGACACCGTGGAATCCAGGAAGGTTTAAGCACCCCACTTTATCAGTCACAAGTCAAAGACCTGGGCTCTAGGTTTGGTTCAGGTACTGGTTTTCCAACGCTGGACATTTGCTACTTTAAGTTCCCTGTCTCAATTTCCCATCTGCGAACTAAACATAATACTGCAGCATTTGCCTTTTCTGTCTTAGAGATGGTATTAAAATGATTTAATCAGACCAAAGATGTGAAGGCCCTAGGAATCCACATTCTGATGACAAAGCAGAGTTATCCATTTTTAAGAGTTCGGAAAAAAACTTTTAATTTTCTTTAACCTGCATACATCCACTACCCCAACAACCCTCCTCATAATTAGAAAATACAGGAGACAAGTTTTTAAAACATAATAAAATATATGTGCATATGTACACACATATATGTATACATATACACACACACAAATTAACAGTAATTAACCAGAACTCTGAGAATTTTTGTTTTACTTAGACCTATAGATGTGTAAAATTTGAGGAATGATTGATTACTTTGAAGGGAAAGGACCGTACCCCAACTACAATAGCTTGGACTAAAGCCAAGGGGGTGTGAATAACATATCTAGAGGGGACATGTTCAGAAGATGAACTGGAGAAATCAAGCGATCCCAGAACACAGGTCACACACCTCTATGTGGAAGAACCAGCTGTGAGTTCTAGCTTAGCCCAGCTTACTCCTAGCACTTCTTGGGCTTAAAACACAACCACACATGGAGATTCACATGGCATCTGTTGAGAGAGCTCAAAGTTACTCAATGTACACCTAAGAATGTTAAGTCTGAATTCCTACCTATTTGTGTCCAGGGCATGTATCCAGGGGATCCCCTGACCCCAAAACCCAAGGACCCCCTTCCCAGCCCCTCCAGCCTGCTATAAGCCTGAGCGGTAACACAGTGACCCAACTAGGAAGAACGAGGACCAAGCACCGGGAGTGGCAGGTCCCCACCCCAGTCCCACGCCTCACTTCTCTCACTCCGGATTTCTAAGCAGTTCCAAAACTACACATAGAGGAGGGAGGGGGCATAGCTATTTTGCCAACCCAGCTCCTACCTAGACACTCACTTTGGGTAGTTTGGGGAAGTCAACTTGAAACAAAAGCAGCACTTTCTCTGGATCCCAAAAGCAAGCCAGTGATTTCCTCCTCCCTTCATGGCATCCTCTGGCAACCTTCTTCCACTATTTCCTTTTGCTCAATTTTCAGCTAAACTTTCAAAACACTTCCCTATGAAACTGAAAATACATTTTGAAGGAAGTCTTTGGGTTCTGGTGTAAGGCCTGGGGCAAGGGCTCTCCCGCGGGTCTAAGGGCAGTTCTGACTCCAGCCATTACATTTGCTGTCCTTGGAGGGTGCTGTTGGTCAAGGCTGGCTGTGAGTTCATCACACGTCCCCTTGGATGGGATGCCATTGACGGGATAGAAGCACCTGACATTGGCCCCTAAGATCTCCTTTTAATGGAGATTCCATTCTTTCTGATACTTTAATATTCCTCTCTGGTAGCTAGTCCTTGGTTAGGAATTTTGTCTCTAACTCCACTGCAAATGATCAGAATGGATTATTTCCAGCCATGTGGCTACTGGGCTGCCCAGGATTGGAGGGAAGGAACTGAAATAAAAGAATCGAGAGAGTCAAATTTTGCCAACTTCACAATATGAGAATGGGTGCCTCGGTCTCCCTACCTGCACACAAAGTATAAGACAGTTATTGAGTTAAGGAGAAAGACTAAACATTCCTCATTTTAGCCCTTGCTCTGACTCAGTAATTTCTACCTAGTGTTTCAATATCATGGGAATTCTATAGACAAGGGGTCAGGCAAACCACAGCCACAGGACAGAACCCTGCACATCGCCTATTTCTATAAATAAAACTTTACTGGAACACAGCCATGCCCATTTGCTTTTGTATTGCCCATGGCTGCTTTTGAAATATAACAGCAGAATTGAGTCACTGCAATAGAGATGGTGTGGCCAGAAAAGCCTGAAATATTTACTATCTCACCCTCTACAGAAAAGTCGGCTGAGCCCTGCCCCAGATGATGATGATGACGATGGCAACTCACACACCCCAGTGCTTCCATGTGCCTGGCATTGTTCTAGGTGCGTAGCATATAATATCTCATTTAATCCTCATGACAAACCTTGAGATTATCT